AATAGATCTTTTTTTTGGGGGGCGGGGGGAAGGGGGGGCAAAAAAAAGGTCTTACCTGCGACTGTCTCTTGAAGCAGTCTAGGCTGGTGGATAATCACAAATTTGGTTTCCCTCACTTTCTGCCGCTTGGTGGGTGGACCCACACACATCAACAGATCCTGGGGGGTGTTCTCACTGTCCAGTTTAAGAGGAGACACTCCCATGCCTGAGAGGAGACCTGAAGTCTTGTTGGGATGCCAGCTCCATGGGATACTTGTAGTGATGTTGCTCCCCAAATCTGGAATTTCCTGAAGATGTCTCCTGCAAGGATACAAAGGCCCCACAGCTACTACTTTACATGCAATCCATAATAGCTCTTCAGCCAACACAGGAACAGAGGCTTAATACCAACAGCACTTGGACTTATATACCTCTTCACAGTGCTTTACTGCCCTCTCTAAGCTGTTTAAAGTCAGCCTATTGCCCCCAACAATCTGGGTCCTCATTTTACCGACCTTGGAAGGATGGAAGGCTAAGTCAATCTTGAGCCACTCAAAATTTACACCTTTAAAAAAACCATGCCTTTGTAATTACACCTTTAAAAATTACACCTTAAAAAATGATGTGAGAGGCACAAATAGTTGCTTCTCCTCCAGAAAAGTACTGAGGCCAGGGATTGTTCTATTCTGACAGGATTGGTCAAAGATTTCAATAAATGACAGGCATATAAATATAGGAAGAATGATTTTGGTGTGTTCGTTATGCAAGTTGCACATGCCCCAAATAATCTTGCTAGAAACAGCCTGCTGAGACTTTGTTCTGCTTGATTAGATCCAGTAGTAGGAATTCACAAAGCAAGTAACTCTGTTTTCCCAGAAAATTTAATAATTGGTATGACAAACACTGCCCTAATAAGAAAACAGCCAGATAATCAATAATTGAAGTAGTTAAGATTCAGAATCATTATTATTATTATGGAAGAAGAGAATTAAAAGTTCCAGATATGTTTACTTCATTCTTTACTTGACTGGAATCCCTTTATACATTACTACATACGTTACTACTAGTTTTTGATGTACAACCATAATTGAACCTGGAATTACAGTCAAATGTTGTTCTGGTCGTTAAGGTCAGCTTATAATCGTGTCCATTTTTTTTTTTTTTGCAGCTGTCATTAAGCAAACACTGTGGTCCTAACGCAAACAGCAGCATCATTAAGCAAACATTGAAGCCATCAAGTAAAGACACTGTTTGCAAAGGGTGATTATTCCCAGAAGGAGAAAGTAAATGCCGGTTTCCGACCAAAAAAAAGTTGCAAATTGCAGTCACAAATGTGGACTGTTTCAAATGCCCGTAAATGCAGGCCAGTTGCTAAGCCCCCAAAATGTGATCACTTGGTCAGGGTGGGGGCAGCTGTTGGAACTTTGAATCTGGTCACAAATACCTTTTTTGGCATATGTTGTGTTTTCAATTTTATTTTTTACTCAACAAGTTGCACAGAATCAAATATTATAACTTAGAAAACAGATGTATTCTTTAACAATATGACTAAATCGAAATAATTGTGGCTTTTGAATAAAGGGGGGGGCTTGTTGTGTGATGGGTGAATTAGGCCAAGGAGATTTCCTGCAACCAAAACAATACCATCAAAATATTGTACATACTGAGTAAAGTAATGAAGTAATACCATCAAAATACTGTACATACTGAGTAAAGTACACAAACGTATTCATCAATTTAGCCCTGTGATAAGATGGGCGGCCAGTAAATTTGGTGGATGGATGGATAGATGGATGGATGGATAGATGACAGATAGCTAGATAGATAGCTAGATGATAGATAGATAGATAGATAGATAGATAGATAGATAGATAGATAGATATAGAGGACAGACAGACAGATAAAGATAGAGGAAAGAGGATAGACAGACAGACACATACATACATGATGACAATGATAATAATACATACATACAGATAGAAAAATAAAAGACATATTGGACTGGGAGACTGACAGCTTGTTATAATTATCATCAGAAATTGTTTGGATTGATGGAAGCCCTGCATGGAAGAATAAAACACCCTGTTTCAACAGAAGACTAGACATAGTATTATATCTATTCATTTAGTGACCATTCGAAGTTACAAGGGCACTGAAAGACTTATGAGCGTTTTTCACACTTATGACCACTGCAGCATTCCCCATGGTTATGTGATCAAAATGCAGCCGCTTGGCCACTCGTTCATGTTTATGATGGTTGCAGTGTCCTGGGGTCATGTGATCACCGTTTGTAACCTTCCGATAAGCAAAATCAATGGGGGGAAGCCAGATTCACTTAACAACCATCTTAACTAACTTAGCAACTACAGTGATTCACTTAACAAAAGTCGCAAAGTGGGGCAAAATTCACTGAAGAACCGTCTTGCTTAGCAACAGAAATTTTGTGTTCAATTGTGGTTGTACATTGAAGACTACTTATGTAGAGGACAAATCCGAGGACAGCAATTACAAACCCTAGAATCCTGTTTAGAAGAAAATCAATGGACAGGTTGATGTAGCTGCACTCAACTGAACTCTTTAAATACCTAAATGACATGTTACATCATTGTACCTAGATGCAACAACCTTTAATATAAAGTACTTTTGCAATTTCAAATACAGCATTTCCAAATACAGTTTAGCAACACCGTTCCAATACTATGAGACGATTTCCCATCAGTATGTATATTTTCAACTGGATTCAAAAGACAAAAAGAGATCCATATTCAGCCCATATGCACATCTGCGGAGTTTTATTCCGGCATTGTTCAAATCCATGTGCTAGCACACCTATCCACCTGTGCCAATTGCGCATATGGAGAACGCGCCAGTACCCTAACTTTCCAAACTTCTTTGCTCTTATTATGCAAATATTTATGATGCATAATCCCTTGGGGATCCTCTGCAGCGAATAGATGTGCAGCTATAATCTGAAAAGGACACGCCCGATTTGTGAATTGAAGCATTTTTAGGCTGAAACTCCAAACGACCCGCAACAAGGCGCGCAAGCCAATCCCGCCGCTCCTAATCTTTTCTTTGCATCCGCCTACCCAGCTGCAACCCTTTATCTTTACCTGTGCATGATGCTCAAGAGGGTGATGCATGAAGAACAGGGACCTCCGATCCCTCGGCTTTTGCTTTCCCGCGCCTTGCCTTGCTCAGCTTTGTTGATGTGGTTAAATTTACCGCAAGCTCCGGAAATCAAACAAAAAGAACCTCCGCGCGCTCGATCTGCCCGGGCTAACGTTCTCCTAGACCTCGCGATGGCTGTCGGGAATTGTAGTTTTTTGTAGTGGAAACCGTTCTCATGCAGTCCATTACTCCACAACACTTTCTTTAGATTAGATAGATAGATAGATAGATAGATAGATAGATAGATAGATAGATAG